ACACACACACACACACACACACACACACACACACACACACACACACACACACACACACACACAGTAGCATGGGTCATTAACTTATATTTCATCACTTTCATCAGCGTGTGGCTGATTGGCTGTGATTGGTTGCTTGGTTGGTTGGTTGCTTGGTTGGTTGCTGTGGGCAACTCCAACCCCACTCCACCCCTCCTTTTCCAAAACCCAGGCCCGGCTCAGAACTCGTCTCCTGGCGGGTTTCCCTGCCTGGTTGCCATGGTTACCACTGCAGGCCATTACTGCCATGAATAAGAACATCATCTACCCCCGACCTGAAATAACCCCACTGCAGACACTGAGAGAGAGGGAGAGCTCTTCCTTCTGTTCGCTCTGGCTTGTTTTTCCTGTATTTTTTCCAAGTTCACACTATTTCTCATCTTTTATCCATTTGAGCAAATGAAGTATATTCAAACTCATCTTTAGTGTGGGGACGAATCTGTCACAGTTTGTGAACCTTGGTGCCTTGTGGGGACAAAAACATTCAATTTAATAATGAAATGTAAGTGTGAAGACTTAAGGTTGGGGTAAGTCTCCAGGAAACCAGCGTAAGTCAACGTAATGTCCTCTGAAGTGACAGAAACATGACTGTGTGTTGCAGCCTCAGGGCAGCCTCTGGCCAGATGATGTAGTTTGCACAAAGAGACCGAAACAAAGGAAGAAGTAAAAGACGGCAAAGAGATTTCTCTCCTTTTCTTTATTTTCCTGCTAAACATGCAGGAGGAAATGGTCAGGACTATTTTTTTTAACAATCTAATTAAAAATGTCAGTCTTTCCTCTTACACTTGGCTTTTTTGGCTTCAACAGAAATCGGGAAAATGTGGCAGGAAAACACCCGATCCTGATATTGGACTAGCCTATACTACAGAGCTGTTTAAGAAGTCCAAGACATGTGTTACCTTTAGCAGCAAAATCATGGTCATCTCTCAAGCCTGTAGAAAGCAAGTCCAAACAACAACCTTTAGGACTAGTCTCCTGCCTGCAGCGGGTCAATCTGGGGCCCATCAGCTTGTGTGTTTACTTAGAGCTTGGATAAGATCGCCAATATTTTACGATGTAGCCAGTGGTGTCATTAATTAATGCAGACATATATTAAAAGTGTTTTCAAACGCTAACCCGAAAGCATCTGTTCCTGACATTTCTTTTCTCCTTTCAACAGGTAGCACATGTTCTTATCCAAATATCGTCAGACCTTAGAGGCCCAGTCCAAGTCAAGTTTCAGGGCTGAAGGTGCAACTTACAGTGTGGATGCAGGGCAGCTCTTTGTTCAGTAACCACGGTAACGAGAGCCGTCCCTCTCCACGGTAACAGGAGCGGATCCTTTCTCTCATGGCCAGGTTGATGTCATGGAGGGTGAACAGACAGAGGACCGTCTCTCTTGGTGGGTTGGAGCGGTTCTTCTGACCCTGAAAATCCACAAAAGAAATTAATTCATTTAAAAATAAATTAGATATTTGCAGGTTTAAGTCCTGGACTGGCCTCTGAGCAAGGCACCCTTCAACAAAAAAAACAAACTCAGAAAGTTCAAGCTCAGATCGAAAACATCCAGTCAAAAGAGAGGGCATCAACAGTCACCTACCTGTGAGAAGACGACAAACAGGATGTCGTCGTTTTCAGAAAGGCCGAGCGCTTGTGCCAGCCGCCGCCCTGGTTTTTGCTTGTAGGCGGCCTGGACCAATCGGTACTCTATGCCATCTTTTGTGCAGCCCAGAGGAAACTCTACATATGAGTAGAACTCGGTGTCATCAGAGCACATCCTCACAATCTTAGATGTGAAGAAGTTCTCTCCTCCGGCATCCATCTGAGTCAGCTGTGTGTCCAGCTGCAGCGTCAGGAAGTACACGTACGTGCGACTGGAGAAGCCGTAGACGTAGTAGATGTCGAAGGCAGGGTAGAGTGACAGGGTGTCGGATGGGATCTTGATCTGCGAGGAGACGAACTCATCCTGGTAAACCAGAGAGAACATATCAACGCTCTCCTCATCAACCACCAGCTTCCTGCTGGACAGCGTGGGGAAATATTCCGACTTTCCATCGATGGCGGCTCCGATGAACAAGTGGCTCTTGGTCTTCTCCAGCATCTTTCTCTTTGGGTCATCCAACCAGTGGTCTTCAACAATCACACCTGCAGAAGAAGGACAAATAGGCAGGATGCGATTAACACTGTGCCTTCCAGAATGTTCGGGACAAAGTCCTAAATTTTGTAGTTTTACAAACACTTTGCATGAACTGTTTGCAGATTTTTTTTTTTTTACATAGGCCTCATTTTCACAGCTTTACAATCTACTGTGATGCTGTACAGAGGTCAGTTCTATCAGCGGATAGCCAAAATAAACACATCTTCCTTTAAAACTAATCAGCTACTTTTAGCTTTTTCATAATAGTAATGTAACAGAAAAATATATTGACTTTTATTCTGAAGAACATTTACTGGAACTCCTTCGTTCTCCGGCAACAAAGCTATCAACAATGCAACGCACAAACAACCTCTGGATCAGATGCTAAAGAAAGGACAAGTGTTAGCAGGCAGTGTGAGACCCATTTCCACCAGAAAAGCTCCGGCGGGTCCGATTAGCTCTTTCTTTTCAAGCAGTGTCCCACAGTGGCTGTTCCAGTACTTTAATCAAAGGTCTAACTAATTTCACTCACACCTTTTTTCCCCACTGATACCCGAGCAGAGAAAATATTCCAGCATTTGTGAATGAACCAAAAATCTGCTTTACAAAGAAATATGTGGGCAAAGTCTAGCTGTCAGTCATCTGTTGTTATGTCCTGACAGTCTTCATTCAGGTTTTTGTTCATGCCAAAAACTGCACATTATAAAAACCTGCAAAATATTTTGACACTTGATTGACGTCTGCAAGTTGAAATGCTTCTCCAGCCTGCACAGAAGTCCAGAGGGAACATTGGAGCGTATTGTTTTTATTTTAGGCATTAAAATGATTACATTGGGACAATGCATCAGTACAAAATCTGCCGAATGTTTATAATTGAGTATTTACAACAAGACAACATGAAAATAAAACTGCTACTCTATAAAATATTGTTTACAAAGAGCATGCATTAGATTCCCTCTGTTGCATTAGCTGCTGATATCACTGTAATCCAATAAAACAAACCTTCAGGGAAAAAGCAGAGACACAGTTTCACAGTGAGAGTAACTGCTGTCAAAGCCATCAGCTACTAGCTAACTTAACTGTAAAAAAACCAAAACAAAAACGTGATTCCTTGAGAAAACCTTTCGAAACAGCAATTAGTTGCTCTAACCACTAGTGGAGAAATATTGTTAACGTGAAGCTAAATGTTGACCAGATCAGCTAGTAGTATTAAATGTAGGACCAAATTAGAAACGATTCTGCAGTTAGCTGAATTCATGCTAGCCTTGGTTAGCGGCTAGCTTTTGTGATTTATCTAAAAACTATTATAAGAGACTTGGGTAGAAGTTTCCATGTTTTTTTTTTTCTTGTGCAAATTGATGGATCAGTGAAGCATCATTTATGGAGCTGTGAGTGTTAGCTAGTTGTAATCACAGACTGGCTAAAAGACGCAGCTTTAGGGTCTAAAAACTGTTCGATTTCAATTCAATTTTATTTACACAGCGCCAAATCACAACAGTCGCCTCAAGGCGCTTTATATTGTAAGGTAGACCCTACAATAACACATACAGAGAAAAACCCAACAATCATATGAGCCCCTATGAGCAAGCTCTTTGGCGACAGTGGGAAGGAAAAACTCCCTTTTTACAGGAAGAAACCTCGGGTAGAACCAGGCTCATGGAGGGGCGGGGCCATGTCGCAACAAGTTGGGGTGAGAGAAAACTGAAGAAAAAGCAGACCTGCCTTAAACCTGTGTTATTTGTAGTGGGAGTCTGTGGCCATCTGTAACCCTAGTGAACCCTTTCCAGATGACCTTATTGAACCAATCACTAGATTAGGTTGCATCAATTAAAACGTGGACTTCTATTTATAAATTACAGGCTAATTCAGAAAAGATTATCATCCATGGTTTGCTCACTAGACAACAGCTGATTAACCAGAAGTGGTTATCAAATGAGCAAATGGAGTTTTAAAGTCAGCTTCACCCCTCGGTGACAAAAACGCTCAGCTTACGTCTTCATAGCATGATTTCACTAATCAATGGGTGACATCATGGTGGCTACATCCTTCTTTTCCACTGTCCAGAAGCTAATTCCTTCCAAATGTCTTAAATTGTATTACCTGTCGAGGACTCTCTAACTCCACCCCCTCTTCAGCCTTGCTTACCTGCCATCCCATCAGCCTCTCGGGCTCCAGACAAGTAGTGCTCCTTGCGGTGATGCGGTTCCCCCAGTTTGAAGAGATCCTCCAGCCTGAGGAACTGACAGACGCCCTGCCAGATGGAGCCGCATGCCACCAGTCTGTTTCCAATATAATCCACTAGTAAGAGCTTATTCACGTTATCTGACATCTCCAGTCTGAGGACAGAGGCAGACAGGTAACGCAGACAGGTGAGACAGGTGTAGACATACAGATGTAATGATATATAGAAATAAATAAGTGAGACAAGAGGGGACAAACCGATGAGCGCAGGACCTGACGCTGGGTGGAGGGTAACAGCTAGCATTGTCCTCCACAGGTCCGGTCATGTGACTCCGCAGCTCCGTCAGATTAGCTGACAGCTTCAGCACTCGGTTCACTGCTCCGACATACACCTCACCTGTACTCTGGTGGACGGTCAGGTGGGTGAGGGAGGTGTCAAAGGCCCGGTACACCACTCTGCCCGATGGCACGGAGGGAGGCGGAGGAGCAGCAGGGGCAGAGAGGATAGGGGAGGAAAAGAGGACAAGGGAGAGGAGAGGGAGGAGGAGCAGAGGAGAGGAACAGGAGAAGACCATGGTGGACACGAAGAGGAAAGGATGAAGGGGCAGAGGAGGAGAGGGGGGAGGAGGAAAAGGAGAGAAGAGCTGGCGGCAGGTCTGGTGAAGAGTCGGCTTCAGTGGGGCATGGCTGCAGGGAGAGAAAGAGGAAAACGCATTCAGAACCAGCTTCAGAATATTCATGTTTTTAAACTTTCTTTAGCGTTGTAGCAATTCACTGATGGACCTCTGAGCATTAATGGCTCCATTACAAACAGGTCCTCCTCACAGACAATTCAGCTGCTTTTAAAGGCACCAATGTGACTGAATGCATGAAAAACAATGTGTATATGGTCCGTGTAAAAGATAGATAGCAGGAACTTGGATACATGGCAGAGACGAGCACTCAGCATAATGAAACTAACGCAGAAGCGACTCAATCCTTTGAGGTAAACATGCAGGAGGTCCTTTTTCTCTTCCCCCTCAGCTGGGTACATGTTTCTTTCCCACTGTCACAAAGTGATAGTTTATAGACCTCATATGATTTTGGGGGCTTTCTCTCCAATATTGGAGAGTCTTTAAATTAAATATAAAGTACTTTGAGGCGACTGATTTGCCACTGAATTGAACGGCTGCAGTTCCTGTGGTGATCACTTAAGGCTGGCTCAAAAACGTAGAGTCCCGTATCAAAAAAAGCCAACTCTGCAGCAGAAATAAACACGTTTTTAAGGTCATTTTAATTTTTATTAACTTAACCATCTGGACAATGGAGTTAGCTGAGCAGTGTCTTGATTAAAATAAAAGTTTATATAGTATTTAATTTCTTAATTTTGACCATGTAATCTTCTAAATTCCTTGAAAGGACGTCACATCCCTAATCTGCATCTCATCCCTGGTCTGATCAGCCTCAGGTGGATCACCTGCAGGAGGATAAATGCTAAAATATGAGAGTCACGCAATGACTGCAGGGACATCTATTCTTCACAAGGCCACCTCAAACGCCAAGCAAGGTGTTTCACCAACAATAAACAGAATTATCTTCAAAATTATCCCGGCCTTAGCCTGACAGGGAGCTTTAGAAACCAACAGGCAGTATTATTTACCAGAAACACACACACAGATAGCGAGTGCAGAGATTAGCAGAGTGTGGGAGTGTAATCGAAGCAGATAGAATTATTGATCTGTTTCTGTCTGTCTTCTCACTGAATCTCTCTCATAAGCCTCAGCAGCTCCAGTAACACTAAGCTGGATGGAAACTTCACTCTTATCCTTGCAGCCAGTTCAACTCCGACTGACTGACAGTTCTAATCAACACACACACACACACACACACACACACACACACACACACACACACACGCGCGTAAATGCCTCGACAGTTTAATCCTAATCTACAGCGATATTAACACCAAACGCAGGACAAGTTTGGGCTGCAAGTATTGTGTTGAAAAGCCTGCAGCATTTGCGCTCAGCGTGGGTGTCCCAGTGGGAATTGAACCCTCAACTGCAGCACTGCTTTATATCAGCCTCCTGGTTTTCAGCTCAGACGCATTAATCAATACGAGAATACGAGAAACGGCGTGTGGAAACAAAGAGCTGGATTTATTTTATCTGGCTTTCAGGGGTTTCTTCTTCTGCTTTCTCGGTTACATCTGGAGTGTCTTTTTATTCATCTGAATAAGGTTTAACAGTGGAAACGCTCACTGCAGTCTCAACGGGTCAGATTTGGTAATATCTCTTTTTTAAAAGTCACTTTTAACTCGAGTCAGGATTAGTGAGCAGGCCTACAGAGAACACATCTGTTCTGTTCAAAAATGTCTTTGAAGTGATTTAAATAGGAGCTCTTCGGCTCATTTTCAGCTCTGTACTTTCACTCCGGTGACTGTAGCGGAGCAGCTTTGCATGACTCACAGTTCAAAGAAAAAAACAACTGTATTTATCTTATTCTGGGCTTTTATGCAACACTCTTTTCCATCCTTTGTCTAAAGAAATCCATTTAACTGTACAGGGTGGGCCATTTATATGGATACACCGTAACAAAATGGGAATGTTTGTCCGAAGACAATTGAAAGTCTGAAGGCAGTTGTCTATGGTGTGAAGATACGAGATGTGCAGCACCTGAAACTACGGATGCTGGATGCCTGTGCTGGCATTTCTCCTGCAGTGTTGCTATAGTGTGTGAAGAGTGGGAGAAGAGGGTTGCATTGACAATCCAACACAATGGGCAGCACATTGAACACATTTTATAAGTGGTCAGAAATTTGTAAATAACTCATGAAAGAATAAGGTTACGTTGAAACCAAGCACACCATTGCTTTTCTTGTGACATTATCAATAAGTTTGATGTGTCACATGGCCCTCTTCCTATTGAAAAAACAAAAGTTGTATCCAAGATGGCCGACTTCTAAATGGCCACCATGGTCACCACCCATCTTGAGGAGTTTGCCCCCTCACATATACTAATGTGCCACAAACAGGACTTTAATATCATCAAACATTCCCATTTTATTACGGTGTATCCATATAAATGGCCCACCCTGTACATTAAAACATTAGCTGTTGTGGAAGAGCGTTAAAGCTGCATTCTTCCTAATAGCCAGCAGGGGGCGCGCCTCTGGTTGCAGAAAGACTTGAAGTTCTATAGACGTTTACAGGGACGCGGCGTTGCTCTGCTACCTCAGTAAACATATTCTTGATATGTCACGGATTCAGTCACTAGTTTGAAATCTGAATATGCAATATTTTCGATTGTTGACATTATCAGGGTCAGAAAGAAGAACAGAGCAGGATATGCTTATTGGTCAAAACCTGACACGTCATCAGCCAATAAACAGACAGCTTCAAAATGTCACAACAGAACTTCTTGAACCAGGCAGTGACATCAGATGGCTACAGTCATTCTTTAAATACAGTCTATGATTTTTTTCTCTGAAGGCCTGCCTCTCTGAACGCTCTCTTTCTTCTGATTGGCCGAGTGCAGGAAGTCCCCAGAAGTGAGAAAACAGTTAAATGGATTAAATACACACACAGACTGTTTAACCATATTTATTAATCTGTGCTTATTAATCTGTGCTCGATTTTGACTCTTTCATTGTATTTTAAAAGTGACTAATGTGTGCTGCACTTTGCCCAATTTTGTACATCAATAAAATATGAACTAGTTTAACCAACTAATATTTCTGGTGCTAACAATGTTTACTCATCGTGGTCAACTGATCACACGCGTCTTCACTAATAATACATATTCTAATCCCAGAAATACCACAGAAGAAGCGGAAACGAATTATTTTACAACTGGGTGGAAATCTGTCTTATTTCAGGTCAGAGAGGTGCTCTGCCTTCACATGAGTGAAATTTTGAAAAACACAGAAACAAAAACGAATTAAAAAACAAACAAACACACTATATACACTGTACAATGGAATATTTAAATAAAAAACGTGTGAAATAAGACTGCCCTGTGGGACCAAATCTCTACAAAACAAATATTTTACACAGTGCGTCCTCGCTGTAATTAACGTATTTCAAATAAATAATAAATCGCTGTTTTCAGACAAAAATGGGGAAAATGTAGCTTTGAGCCTCTCAGGTGTAAAGAGCTTCTCGTTGTCATCCCTAACGATGTGAGTATTTGTGACTAATTGTCGATTCAAGGAGTTTACAAGGCTCCAGGATATGCATGAGGGCTCAACGGTCAATTGAGAGCGTAATGATCAGATTAACAGCAGGTGGTAAATGTAGATTTCTGACATGCAGCATGATGGTGGATCCACTGAGGCTTAAATTTCACTGCAAAATTTGGGAGAAATGAAACGAGTCCCGTGAACAGAAACAATGTGAAGTAAACCTGGAGCTCTTTCTGAGCAGCAAACAAATCACGAGCCGCCCTGTCCTGTTAATTTTACTGTCAACGTGTGAATTCGTTTCAGCAAACGGGGGAGACATGTTGGACTGAGGAGGTCCAGGCGTCTCTCTGCAGCTTCATTAATAAATGAGAAGAAGAAGAAAGAGTCTTTTTTTTAGTGTCATTTAAGAGAGGTCCTCCTGACTGAGCTAAAACAGATCCTCCACACAGCGACTGCACAGCGCCGTGAACGACGGCTTCTAATGAGACAGAAACTGAAGGGAGGGATAATAAAGTTTTCAGCCGGGCAGCGAAGACGTACAGGAAGCCGAGTCCAACAATTAACCCCGTGACACACACACAGAAACACAAAGAGGCAGTGAAAGATCAGCACATTAGTTAATTAGCCCGCTGAGCTGAGGGGGAGACCAGAGAGAGGAGAGGTCGACAGATGGACCAGTGTGTGTGTGCGTGTGTGTGTGTGCGTGTGTCTCAGAGTGTGTGACGGACAGCTGGGCAGACAGAGGACACAGATAGAGTTTCTCTAACTGGACTACGATTTCACTGGATCATCCATCACCCTGGAGAACCGGAGGCTGTGACTGAGGACGAGTGATGGGACGACCCCATCAGAGCGAGGACATTTCTGCACCTTAATGGCTTGTTTGACATTTTAGACTTGGGTTTTAAAATCACATTCAGGGTAGAGCTGGCTAAATATGAAGTCCTTTTATCTGGTTGGCCTGAAATCTCACAGAAAAGCCTTCAGCTGATCCAAAACACCACCGTGACAACAGTAACAGGCACATAGGAGATTATATATTTCCCATATTAGCCAGGCAAGAGTTCAGAATTCATCTAAATACATACAAAGTCTTAATGATCAGGACCGGTCACATGTTAAAGATCTCATAGTGCCATGTGATGCTGACAAAGCTCTCAGGATGCTGAGCTGTGATTTCTACAGTTTCTAAAAGTAGAACAGGAGGCAGAACCTTCAGCCTGAAATGATGCTATAAAAATAAAATGGAACTGAATACAAACGAATATGTCACGTTATCAGTCAAGCTGAGAATAAAGTTATAGGTCTTTTAATAACAAAAGGGAAGTGGTGTGAACAAACTTGTTCCCCTTCGGCTGTGGTTGGCCTGTAAAAAAGAGCTGCATTCACTGCTTTTTGTGTTTCTTCTTTAAAAATGCCAAACAAATTTAACTTTGCTTCACAACCAAAAAGCATTTCTGGGTGGCGTCCAACCTGAAACCGGAGAGGTGAATGAACTTTCCGAAGCAAAATGGAGAAGGCGGAG